GGAACCAGACCAGTGTTTCCTGTAAGCTGAGTGCTTCGGCGGCCATCCAGGAGAGATTCAGGTGCTTCCCAGCTGATAGGCAGAGCGCCCACAGCCGGCAGCGTGTCTTTCTCTTGGTGGTACACATCCGCACATGCACAGATAAAAACTTATTCTGCACATGGATGAAAAATTTAAGAGGGACCGTGGCCCCCTGATTGCCAAGCCCCCGGCTCTAACCAGCTGCCTGTGTTCCTGCCCTGTTAAAAGCAACACACTCCTTAGATCCACTGCCCATTCCCATCTAATCAAGCAGTAGTCTGCTCAGCAAACAGGGCACCAAAAGGGAAAACTCCCTGGCATTGGCGTCGGAAACCCGCTGCGGTTATTCCGAAAGGCTGGAACAAAGGGAGCGCGCGAGCTGGCAGTCTCGCGCATCTGGAAAGAATTCTGCGTTTAAGGTCAGAGAGCCTCTCTTTCGATTTCCCCCCACCTCCCGTCTCTTCCCTTCTCTCTCCCCAGGGGTAGGCAAACATTCCAGACTCTGATCTCCGCATAAAACAAAACAAGGCTGGGGACGGCCGGGCGCAGGGGCTGGGAGCCGTCAGGAGACGCTCGCCATGCTACACGCAGGGAGCGCCGTCTCCTCTCTAGGAACTATCCTGCCTGCCGTTGATGGGCACAGGCTGGCGGGTGGTGCAGACCAATGGCTAGATCTGCCCTGGAGGGTGCTGTCTCATCTCCTGGCCCCTGGCATTTGCAGGGCTCTGTCCTCCCACCCACACCTCCATCAGGCAAAAACACAGCTCTGGCATGTGCTAAGGGCCCTAACGTAGTAGCCCACCCACCCCGAATGTCTCCACCCCTCTGATTTGGGGCCCTCTGAGCTAACCCCAGGGATCCAGCTTCAAAGACTCTGCGAATGCACTGTGAAGAGAGAGAGTCAATCCAGCACCCGCTAACAGTGCCAGGAGATCCAGCCCCTGGATCCAGCCCCAGTGCCTCCTAGACCTTCCTCATCCTCCCCCAAGCTCTCCCCGCCAATCTGCCCCTCCCCCTGCTCTGCCCAGCACTGCAGCAGTTTAAGCCCCCCCCCCTTCCCACCCAGCGCTAATCCTCAACCCCTCCCTCCTTCGCCTCGCTTCCCCGATCCGCACCAGGGATGGGAAAGGCTGGCACACTGGGACGCCCGTCACAAGAATTACCCAGGCCATCAGAATCTGCAGCAGTGATGCTTTCCAAATTCAGTCCCGGAATCGGGAAACAAGCCACCGAGTTCTGCGTGGGACTAAGGAGCAAGTAACACCAGCCCCTGGCCTTGACCTGAGCTGGAAGGTTGGACACAGATGCTTTAAATTAGGGCAGTATTTCTCCACCTTTTTTTATAAAGTACCCCTTTGAAAAATTATAAGTACCCCCAGTACTTACAGTTTTCAGACACACAACATTTTTTTTCTACCATTGCAACACATTTGTTTAAACAACTTAATCGTAGCCGGGCGGGCGATGAAATTTTTGGGTGTAGAAAGTACAAAAATAATAAAGCGCTGCAAAACTTAAAATGAAAATTCAGTTTTCTTCAGATTTCAGTTGTGTTGACGTGCTCCCCTCCCCCAGATTCCTCTCAAGGACCCCTAAGGGTACTTGTACCACTGGTTGAGAAACACTGAATTAGGGAATAAAGCAACAGAGAAGCTTAAAAAAGGCCCCTCGCTTTCATAAGGAGGGGAACCAGCTGTTGCCATTTTATCACAAACCCCACAATAAATGGGTGTGTTTCTTAAAACCCCAGGTCCTGGAGTCATGGGAGAAGCTCAGATTTCATGAAATGTGTTTTCTATGTAGCTAGGCAGTTTCACAGAATCATAGAATACTAGGACTGGAAGGGATCTCGAGAGGTCATCGATTCCAGTCCCCTGCCCTCACGGCAGGACCAAATACTGTCTAGACCATCCCTGATAGACATTTATCTAACCTACTCTTAAATATCTTCAGAGATGGAGATTCCACAATTTATTCCAGTGTTTGACCACCCTGACAGTTAGGAATTTTTTCCTAATGTCCAATCTAAGCCTCCCTTGCTGCAGTTTAAGCCCATTGCTTCTTGTTCTATCCTCAGAGACCAAGATGAACAAGTTTTCTCCCTCCTCCTTATGACACCCTGTTAGATACCTGAAAACTGTTATGTCCCTTCTCAGTCTTCTCTTTTCTAAACTAAACAAGCCCAATTCTTTCAGCCTTCCTTTGTAGGTCATGTTCTCTAGATCTTTAATCATTCTTGTTGCTCTTCTCTGGACCCTCTCAATTTCTCCACTTCTTTCTTGAAATGCAGTGCCCAGAACTGGCCTCAATACTCCATGTGAGTATCGCAGAGTAGAGCGGAATAGTAGAGCGCAGAGTAGAGTTTCTACCCCTTGAGGCTGCAGATATGAAAACATGACCTGCGTGTGATCCAGCAGGCAAAGAACAACCCCATAGTTGATTTTAAAACCCCTCACGATTTTTAGGGGCCAGATCTGACCCTTAAATGGGTTTTGAAGATGGGAGGTTGGCCACACTGAGTAATTAACCATTGGAACTAATTCCCTCCATGACTCAGAGCCCATGCATCAAAGTCGGGTCTATACTAGGCTAGCTATGCTGGCAAGTCTTGCTAAAGTAATAGACACCACTAATCCTGCCTAAGTGCTTTTACCGGCATAATTTATACTCATTCCCTGAGTAAAATAAACACTGACGGGTAGGCAATGGCTTTCCTGTTCCAGGAAAATGTTAAAGATTTTGAAAATTTTGGTCCTGCCTTGGGCAGGGCGCTGGACTTGATGACCTCCTGAGGTCTCTTGCAGTTCTACAGTTCTACGAATCTATGAAAAGTCCAATGATACATTGGGACAAAATGTCAAAATATTGAACATTTGCACCACTTCCAAAATCCCCCCTCTTTTCTCCTCCTGCCCCCCGCCAAAAAAATTGGTTTGGCTCAATGTTTCATTTTGCTCATTTCCAAACATTTTCTTTTCAATGTTGATCTTGTTTCTTTTTAAAGAAGGGTTTAAGTTATAAATTAACTCAAAACAGTTCTCTACAAAAAGTCATTCTGAACTGAAAGTAAAGGCTTGGATGGCTGTACGCTAATGCACTAAATATTAAATCTAAACATACCACTATAAAGTCATAACAACAATACTGAATACGTGTTAAAAATTGGCAAGGCCATTTCTCCTGTAGCACTTTTCAGCAGTAGCTCTCTAAGCACTTTGCAGAAGAGGCCAGTTGCATGAGCTCAATTTTACAGATGGGGAAACTGAGGCACAGGGCACAAACATGACTTGCCCCAGGTCGCCCAGAAAGCCAGTGGCAGAACTGGGAACAGAGACCATTGTCCTGGGTTCTATCCACTAACCCAGTGTTTCCCAATTTTATTTGGCCACAGAACCCTTTTCAGCTTGAAAGAATTTCAAGGAACCCTTAGGATTCCTTGGCCCGCAGCAAAACAAAAAAAAAAGTCCGAGTCCTGCTGCAAGTTGTTTCTGTCTCTTTAAGAGGGGGCAGGGGCGTGCCGGGTTCTCGCAGAACCCTTACTTTCGCTTTGCGGAACCCCAGGGTTCCACGGAACACCAATTGGGAAACACTGCACTAGCCACACAGCCTTTTGTAGAGCCCCATGTAAGACTATCCAGAGGTATCAGAATGAATGATCATTCTGGGAGGGGTATAAGATTATCTCATTGGCACGGAACCACTCTTACACCTTCCCCTGAAGCAGCTGCTGCTGGCCACCATCAAGGACAGGAGACTGGACACGACAGACCTTGGGTCTCACGCAGCCTTGCAGTGCCGACAATCTGGGATACGCCAGGCCCTCCGATCCTACCTCTGCAAAAAGCCCTGGTCAGAGGGACTCAGGAGTCATCACATAAGGAACCGACAGCAGGAGGGTATGCTTTTTTGGGGGGAGATGGACATTAATGGACAAAGAAGTAATATTGCTCGGTGGATAGGGCACCAGACTGGGAGACTTGTTCTCAGCCCTGCCACAGACCTGCTATGTGACTTTAGGCAAGTTACTGCCCCACCCTGTGCCTCAGTTTCCCCCCTCCCCTTCCCCTTTGTTGGCCTTTTCTCTTTAGGCTATCAGCTCTTTGGATCCAGGACCATCTGTCACTATGGCCAGGTCTACCCTCGGGGATACATTCGAATGACAAGATGCAACTCCAGCTACATTAATGGCGTTGCTGGAGTCGACGGACCTTAAGTTGAACTTTGGTGCAGTCCCCATGGCAGGAGGTCGATTTCACTTACTTCACTTACATGAGGAATAGGAGTATTGGCTTTGACCGGGGTAGCCTCAACTTTCAATGTAGTAGGTCCTTACTAGACCCGCTAAATCAAATGCCAGATGATCATCTCCGGAGCATCGATTTGCGGGTAAGTAAAGACGTGGCGTGAGTATATTCAGCTCCTAGGGCAAAGGGGTGCAGAGCCTGCCTAGAACACTGTAGATCCATGGTGTCCAACCAGTTCTGCTATACCAGTACTGCTATAGCGAACTAGCCACACTCAACCAGCCCAATAGCCACATGTGGCTAGTGGCTAATGCGAGGGACAGCACGGCTCTGGACTATAAGCAGTCAGTGTCACCGTGGATTTACACTTCCAAAGCATCTAACCCTCCACCTCTATAACAGGCTCGATCGGACACCCACCCTTCCTGGCTACAAACCCCCAGTTCCGACCTCCTGCCGATCTCTCCTGAATCAGAGCAGCGGTCTGGCGGGAGAAAGGAGGAGAGTGTTTTTGTGATGACCGAGCCCTGGGCCCTTCAGACCAGCAGACGTCACCTCTTCATATGATGATTAGCCTGAAGACCTTTTCTGGGGGAGGCAGCCGGATGGTTCAGAACACGGAGAGTCTAAAAAGCAGCAGAAGCTGCATCCAATTATTTCAATTAGTGAAACTCCACTTTGTTAAACAAACCAAAAGGAATTGGTATTCAGGGGGAAGGAAGAAAATACACTGACCTGGTTCGTCCCTGCTCTGCACCTCGGGTACATCTCACATTCATCTCACCCCTCTTTCAGCCTGTTACTCGTGGCAGGAGGCTGCGATTTTGTTCTGTGTCTGTATAGTCCCTAGCCTGAAGGGGGTTATGGCACTACATAGTAAGGTCCTTAATAATCATAAAAGCTTGAAAAATAGACCCCCCCCCAAAAAAATCTCCAAAAGCGGAAGGCAAAGAAGAACGCCCCCCCCTGTGATTTCTATATAATGATTATATATATGATTCATATATAATGGGGGGGGTGTAAGAAGATCGCACAATATTGGAAGGTTTGAGGAGAGTGATCCTCTATAAACCACCAGGCGGTGACGGAAAACTTGCATCCAGTGAGTATTTGCCAGTGGGATTTGGGTGGAACTGGCTCGGTTCTTGTTCCCAGGCTCCACACCCTGCCTGTCCCAGCCCAAGGTCACCCCGGGCGCCACACCTGAGAGAGTGTTTCCCCCGGCCAGCCCCCGGCCTGCGCCTGGGTTTGGACGACCACCAAGATCCTGCTCCGTGCTCCCTGCTCTGCGGGGGAAATGAAATGCAGCTGCGCACACTTTCCGTGACCCCTCCCACCGAGAAGGGAAAAGGCTGCACATCTCACCGCGTTCAGGGCCTGACCCAAACCCCTCTGAGACTCAGAGGAGACGTTTCCCTCTCAGCTAACACAGAGAAGCGGATTCTCACACTCAGACCCCTGCAGACAGCTGGGTAGCTAAAGGGGCCTTGAAGGGCATGGAACTGCCCCCCCCAGCTACCCCATCCTATGAAAGGGGGTTACCCTGCCAGTGTGGATCTGCCCCAGCCCTGCTTCCAGAGCCCAGCATGGTGGCATGGCCAGAGCACAGTGCATTATGGGTTTTCTGTGTTTCCCAGGGTCCATGAAAGGCAGAATAAATTAGAGCAGCCCAGAGGCTGCTCTAAGTGACACTGGGGGCAGGGCAGCACACGGAATCGGGGAAGCACACTAATAATTTAAATCCACTTTACCTCCCCATTCCCAGCCCAAGGGTGTGTCTAGACTACATGCCTCCTTCGACGGAGGCATGTAGATTAGCCAGATCGG